TTACTTAATTGCGAATTTTCCTTCTCGAAAAGAATCCCCAAAATGTGTATCCTCAATAACGGATACCTACTTTGTTCGATGATTTCATTAAATATGATATATGTTGTTTGTTAGTATTTCTTGTGCTGTCGTCTAAGCTGCTTACCATAAAATTTATATCAAAACTGTTTTACAAAATAATGCATTTTAATTGTCGCTGCCAGAAAAGAAATAGCTGAAGAATATAGAAATAAGTGATTTGCTTCCAGCTCCAATGCTAGGTTGCACTCTAATATCTGAAAGGTCCGACTAAGGTGTGATTTGTGGGGATTGTTATGCGATGTATGTATGCATGTTGTTGGCCAGAATGGTAACAAGTGCGAGACACGCATTTATCCAAGCTCGAACAAAGTTGCAAGTCGGATTTGAAAAACGGCCGCAGTCCGTTAGGAGCATTGCACAAATTGGAGTAAACACAGCGATGACAGTCGCCACTGAGTGCACATAAAAACAATTGCATATTGGTTAATAAAAACTCAATGGTTTATGCGTCTGACGAGAGCCACCGCCGGCCAAAGGCGGCTAGCTATGGGGCGATTTCTTCTTATCTTTGCGCCAATAGGCTCGACAATTTTATGGCCATGCTATGCATGCACAAATGTTGGCCAAATGTTGCAGTTGCGATTGCATTAAGTTGTCGCTTATGTTCTGTACCTGATATTTCATTTTCTGACCGTTGTTTTTTGATGCATTTAATAAAACAATTTTTCAACCGGTGTGTCGCTATCTGACTATTCGTCCGTCCGTCCGTCCATCTGTCTGTCTTTTTGGCTGTTTGTCTGTTGGTTGGTTGGTGGGTTGGTTGGTTGGTTGGTTGGTCTGGAGTCTAACCGGTTGGCGTCCAAACATTTTGACTAATTAACTGAAAATGTTATGCGTACGTAGAAAAGTTGTAGAGAATTGAAATGTTGCCAACATGCCTGGGGCAACGGCACTTGAGGACGTTTTCTGAAAAGCTGGCAGCATTAGCAGCAGAAGCAGAGGCAGGGGCAGGGGCAGCATCGACTTGCATTTCCTGTCCATAATGTGCAGTTGACTTTGCTAGCCAGGCCGGAGGATGAGGCTGCCGTTGCCGGCGACAATCATAATCGCCCAGTGACAACTGCCAAGCGACGTGGACAAAACATACTCGAACACACATACATACACGTACTCGAAATGCGTAACTTACTTATGCATATCTGTAGTCGCTCGTTTGGCACTACTTGGTGGCTAGCAACTGGTATTACATGGCAGCCATATCCATGGCAATGCCACTCTACTACAACAACTATACTACACACTGCTGCGAGTACTACTGCTTATTACCACATACTTTGACCGTGCTGCCTTCTTCCTCTAGTACCAGTAGTAGCCAAGACGAGTTCTGTGGCTAAAACACACCAAATGCATGGGACGGAAGAGAGCTTGGCATAAAATAGCAGCATTTTGGTTGCAGGAAATGAGTTGTAGTTGTTCTTGATGTTGTTCTTGTTATTATTATTGCTGTTGGGGCTGCCTACAAATTTAAAAATTAAACTGCTGACAATAGATAAAAGCGCCACAAGCAATGCAAGGCTAACCGCTCATATCACCTGATATTACAATAACAAATAATACGTATACGACTAGTGCCAACTGAACACCTATAATAAACAAATTAGATAAATTATCCACATATGTACATATATATGTAGTATTATTTTCTCTAAGGTAAGCTGAATAGCTTTCACTATTCATATTATTTGATTATAGTTTGCATTTTCATCTGGGAGCTCTAGATCCCATAATGAGTTAAGCTTAATCGAGTTAGAGTGTTTCACTAACTTTTTGCGATAAATAAAGTAGAAAGAATAGAGATATATTTTAAACTTATAAAACATATAGAGATATATGTTAAACTTATAAAATATATTCCTTTCAAGAAAAGTACTATTTTCATCTGAGAAGTTCTTAGTTAAGCTTAATCAAGTTAGAGTGTTTCACTAACTTTTTGCTGCTTATATAGAGATATATTTAAATAGAGATATATTTTAAACTTATTAACCATATTCGTTTCAAGAAAAGTACTATTTTCATCTGAGAGTTGTTGATCCCATAATGAGTTAAGCTTAATCAAGTTAAAGTGTTTCACTAACTTTTTGCGATAAATAAAGTAGAAAGTATAGATATATATTTTAAACTTATAAAACATATAGAGATATATTTAAATAGAGATATATTTTAAACTTATTAACCATATTCGTTTCAAGAAAAGTACTATTTTCATCTGAGAGTTGTTGATCCCATAATGAGTTAAGCTTAATCAAGTTAAAGTGTTTCACTAACTTTTTGCGATAAATAAAGTAGAAAGAATAGAGATATATTTTAAACATATTCCTATCAAGAAAAGTACTCTTTACATTTGTAAATCATTATTAGATCTAGTTTTTAATCTTGCAGTGAACATGACTTGATTCCAACTATGGAACACGTCTAACTGATTCGAAGATCATGGATATAGAAATTATAACATTCCGGTATTTCAAATTTAAATTTCTTTTTAACCGAAAAGACAACAGAGCGACATTTAGAAAAGCGCATTTCCTTTCAAACAGGGGTTCACTTACTATATATAGGCGCTTTATGTTCTGAGGCTTGATTTAAATAAAATTGTTTAAAAGCTGGAAAACGATTTCTGTGCTTATAAATAATTTACAATCAATGGCTGTTTTCTTTGCAGGTGGTTCTTCTTTGGTGTACTTCCAACAAACAGCCACAGCATTCTAAAGTCAATTTAACCAAACACTTGTTCCGTGCACACATATTAAAATTTGATTAATATCAATCTATAACAGATATAAATCACTTGCAGGAATACTATACTTTACAAGCAGAAGAATGCTTGATTATTTTATTCAGAATATAAATCAAGAAGAGAGTGTTCAAGCACGTCCGACTCTATTTGAATTTTGTGGCCAAGATCATGGCCATGGCCGAAATAAAAAAGAAAAATTATCACAGCTCCAATGTTGTATATAGCCAACCAGTGTTTACAAGCTGTTTATTGTGGATTGTTGGAGCCGTGGTTCGTGGTTCGTGGCTTGTTGTTTGTTGTTTCTGGCTAATGCTGCCGTCGGCGTCGGCGTTGGCGGCAGGCAAAGCAAATCGAGCTACTCGTGGTTTCCTTGCAAAGCAAAGTGCAAGTCACTGGGCCAGCAGCAGCAGCTAGAGCAGTGATGGGGCCAACAATTCGTTGCAATTCGCGCAATCTGGAAAAACTTGTAACCTCGCAGCCTTGCACACTGTCATCATCAACAAGAGGTTGGCAGCCGGCCAGCTAACCAGCTAACCAGCTAGGCAGCTAGGCAGCCAAGGAGGCAGGCTAGCAGCCGAGCAAATCTTGTTAGCATTTTTTACCCATTTCCTTTTTTTGTACATATGTAAATAGCTGTGTGTATGTGTGTGTGTGTGTGTTTGTGTGTGTTTGTATGCTTTAGAAAAATTATGTTCGATATCAATTTCGCGTGGACACATGCCAACAGACACGCAACGCCACCTAACACGCGCACCAATTTTAATGCCGGGCAGACGATGTCATAGTTGTTGTTCTTGTTGCAGTTGCAGTTGTTGTTGTTGCAGTTGCAGCTGCTTGTTGCTCTCTTCCTTTATTTTGTATAAAAATAACAAACAACAGTGTCAGAAGCAGCAGCGAAAAATAAAAATACTAATTGAAAATAGAAAAGCTGTGCCATGCGCATGATTGTTCGCCTCAGCAACGAAGCATTTACACGCGAAGATACACATGTCCATATACAGTAAAATCTGGGGGGTTGACAGCATATCCAGGCCTATTTTATCTGTTATCTAAACTTTAAAAATACATGAAATAAAACACAATAGTCCACACACAATGTGGATAAGTGTCTAAGTTAAACAAGCGATAAAAGAGTGTTTGTGGATTCAAAAACTGATACCCTACCCTTTCGCGGAGTGGGTGCTTCGGCTGATTCTTGATCCTTGCGCTCACACAGACAGACGGACTAACTCAAAATGCTGACTCATCTCATCATTCTGTTATGACAGTCTGCTCTAATTACTTTGTCGGGGAATTGTAGTTAAAAAAGCAACTAAAAAACATAAAAATGAGAATAAATTAATGTATTTTGTCCAAGCAACTAAAATGCTTAAAAGTCCGTCCCAGTTGTTGAGCTCGTGGCCCAAAAAAATATTAAACACGGCTGGTTTCACTGTACTCCACTGCCCCCTATTGACGCGCAGATATCTTGCAGGAAGTAATTACGGCATGCGGATGAAAAGCGAGGAGGCAGGCCAACCCAGTCTAGAGATCGCCGTCTTGCTATAGAATTAGCATACGCCTGACTAAATACCAGAAAATTGTGCGTGCCATTCAAAGAGTGTTTTATTTTGTGAATGCCAGCGACATTGCAAAGGCAGCCGGTTGTCTGCCGGTTTTCTGAATAAAGAGGTAGCCTTTAGGCGAAAAACTACTTGGGTGTTACATATACTTTATGTGCAGGATAAGACCCACATACTTATGTCCGAATGCTGTGAATGGCTTGCGCTCTGTATCAAATATATCAAATGACTTAATACAAAAGAATCACATGTTTTCCAAAGGAAATAGCTGCGTAAAACAGGAGCGGCAAGCTACATTTTAAGCCCAATTTTTGGTAACCATTTACAACCTAGCTGTGCTAGGTCTACCATTTGATCCTTTAAAAATACCAGAGATCTTTTGCATGTCGCACATTTCCTCAATACTTGTGGTTTCCTCTTGCTGCTTTATCAAATTCGCTTCATACGCTTATATATTTGATAAGAATTACATATTACTACTTAGTATGTCAACTTATTGATCGAGCCAAAGACACGCAAAAGATTACGAAGATTTGGTTAGCCTACTTGTAGAGGCAACAGGCTCTGCAGGGCATAGGGTACAGCAGAATAGACGAGACTTTATTTAATTAATCTGTGCTGCAACAATGATGATGATGCTTTACGTAACAGCATCCGTCTGTTCTATTTGAGTTTAAATAAGCTTTTTGGATTTGAAATACCGGCGAAGGTACAAAACTTGCCAAGCAGCCAGCCCCAGTAAGCAGCACATACTGGCAACATTAAAGATAAGAACATGTGAATGGGTTTTTTCATGGGTAATGCGCATTTCCTCCTCGCGCTTGCGCATCGCAGTAAAGTCCTGTACAACGGCCTCGGATAGGTCCTCCAAACGTTTGAGGTCGAGTTCAAGGGGTTTGAGCTTAGAGGCTTCGCCAATGCCTTTGTAGTTCTTGGTCTCCACTCCTTTCTTGGTTGTTAACGAGACGACGTGTGAGGTGGCATTTATTTCCTTCGGAACCCTAGAGATGAAACAGATCTCGTACGTCTCGTAGAGTTCGGACATGAAGCTGAACTTTCCTTTGAATATGTGTTTCTTCTGTGCCAGTATGTGGCCCTTTGTGTCACGGGCAATATAGTCAACCACTTGTCCGCGCACCTTAGACACTTCGTATTCACCAATTAGCAGCTGATCGGCCAGTATATCCTCTTTTAGGCATTTTTCTGTGTTTGGAATCAGCTGGAACATGACGCTACTGCTTGGCCACCAGCATCCAAAAATAATGAGCAAAAATATTAGTGATTTGAACATTTTTTCTCTACTAAAGTATATTTTAGGATGTGGCAAGTGTCACTCAAAATATTTTGTAGATGTTTCCGAGAGAAAACAAAGCATTCCTAAGCTGTCGACGAAAATTGAAACACAATAATATTTATACATCATTTTTCTTGCTCTTCGAATACAAAATGGGCGAACAACGACTAAACGAAGAGTTACAAATGAACTTGACTGGAGCGAATGAAGTGATTGAAGTTCCAAATGGCCCACCGGTTCCCGACCCAGAGGACAACGACTTAGACGGCCAATACAATGAGGATGATGTAGATATCTTTGAAGAAGATATAAATTTTGGCGACGATGTAGACAGCGATTTAGATTTTGATGAAGATAACCAAATGTAATTTTCAGACGGTGAGTTGACAGTTGATTTTAAAAGCCGCTACGAATACATTGGCGATTTCCTACCCCAGCAGATTTTTGTTAAGCCGTTTATGTACAGATTATTTTACAGATAAATGGGCAACCCTTCAGTTTACTTAACATATTTCTATTTTTTAAGACAAGCCTATAATCATGACTGTTCCTGATTCTGCCTGCCAACATGCCTGCCAAACCCAAATTAAGCTGAACACTAAAATACAATTCTTTATATAATATCATATCAAAATTTATAGTAATATTCCGCTTGTTTATGTTACGAGTTTTATTTAAAATTCGCCAATGTTGTGGAATTGAATAAAGATATAAGCAATACACGTACCTGGCAATTTCCTTAGATTCTATGCATGATCTTAGGCGTTAATTCAAAGCATTTTTATGGGGCCACTTAAGCTGTGGCCAACCTTTTAGCAACATGGCTACCACACTTGTGCTTGTGCTTGTGCTGGATGTGTGCTTGTACAAGTGCATGTGTGTGCTGGCTAGGCTTAAACTCGATAAACTTCAAAAAGGCCCGTGGTGCTATTATATTTGGCCTGCCATTCAAAGCCATATATTTAAGCAGCTGGCAAGCAGCCGCTCCAAACTGCGGATGGTGCCGATGTTGGCGCTGGCTAATAAAGTGTTCAGGCGGGTAGGAAAATGCATTTGCAGTCTAATGCCGAACACACATACACACACACACACACACAGGCCGAAAATATCGAATACTCGTAGTATAGTGTAGTATGGCGTAGTATGAGATGTTGGTGTGCGTGCAACACATGCATAAACATCATTCATAACGCCTGAATGATGAGTGCGGCCGATGTGGCCAATGCGGCTTGCAACTGTGCGGCAGTTGGCAATTTTTTCTTTTATCTCGCATTGCTTGGCGCATACAGCATTTTGATCTGTGTCTAATGCATAAAATCTTATAATTTGCGCACGTGTTAATCAGACACTACGCGCCGACGGATGGGGACGGATATATACGAGTACGAGCTTACTCGTCAGTATCTACGAGTGTGCATGTATGTGTGCGCCGCATTTGGTGCAGCTGTGGCACTCATAAAAACAACAACAACAACAGCAACAAAAACAAAAACAACTACTCCATTGAGGAGAGGATGGAGGCATGGTAGGTGAGGTGCCAGCATGCTCAGCAACACAACTAACAATTTTAGGCTAATGATGTGCTCATATTTAAGTTAGTTTAAACGCTATTGGTACAAGGCATAATTCAAGTGCACCAACAACGATGACAGGCGATGGCGACGATGGAATAGAGACCGAGACCAAAGATTCCTCAGCTCTAGTGCTCTACACTCCACTGCACAGAGTCTCAACGGATCTCGTTTAAACCTTAACAAATGCTGGAAGATAATTGACAGTTACGAAGAGTTGACCTATCAAGTGACCTATCATATGGGAAAAGAAGTATTGACAGGAAGTAATTGAGGACATCGAAAAAAGCTGGCGCGTTCCCTTCTGGGTGCTATATCCATGCGCTTCAATAGTCCAATAATCCAGTCTAGTCCTTTGGGTACACTTATAGGCCGATCAAACCCCTTGTATCTCAAATTAAGCAGTCGCGTGCTAACTGTGTTATTATTATTTATTCGGAATCAGCAGACTTTTACTTTTGGGTGAATCGCAATCCAATCGAAGGCAAAAGCCCTTGAGTTGACAAAAATCAGAGTATTGTGATTTAATACTCCAATAAAAAGAAAAAATTTCAACAGATCGACACTTAGTGGAAACTTATTAACCAGCTCGATCTTTTTCAAATGCAGATCATATATCTGATAAATATTGTACTTACAATACACATTTTCTATCAAAATCAAAAACAAGCCAAGTCAGAATGTTGACCATCTTTGAAATTAACAAATTATTTGTATGTTGGGAGTTAATGAATTGTTACCATAAGCGGAGTTTTTAAGACCACTGTGCTGAGTCCAATTTTCCAAGCGCTTGGTTGGTGTGTCGTGTGTTGTGGACCGCATGCTGTTGCATTTAATGATTGCACGCCTTGACTTTGGCAATAAAACAAATTTGTGGCCATAATTTTCGAAATTCAAATAACAAATTCTGTGCGCAAGCCGCGCCACAAGCTGCAAGGCAAATTCAGGCGGTTGCTTCCAGCCTCAACTTGTTTGCATTGAAAATTTATTGTTACGCAGTTGGAAAACTGTGGCCGAGACTATATTTGTGTGTATGTGTGTCTGTGTGTGTGTGTGTGTGTGTGTGAGTGTGTGTATATATGCACGGCAGCAACAATTTATGGCATCGCTGCAATTGTTGCCAACTGTAAATGCTGCAGCAAACAAGTCAATTGAATTTATTTCGTTTATAAATTGCTTTCAATGCCAGCAGCAGCACCAGCAAAAGCAGAAGAAGAAGACGAAGATGTTGCAGCTGCTGCGGCTGCGGCTTCGGCTTCGGCTGCTGGAAGACTCGCTGCCGACACTCGCCTGCTGCCTACGGCCTTAGCATCTTTTGCCTGTTGCCTTGTGGTGTGTGCCAAAGCCAACGCCTCAAGTGTCAATTGGCTAACGGGGAGCCGCAGTTGGCGCTGCCAGTTTGGCGCAGCAAAGACAAATCGCTGCTCGATTTGACAACGATTGACGTGCGGCTGTCGGCCCACAACTCACCTGGCAGTCGGCGGTGCGGTGGCTTGAGTCAAATCAATCCACAGCCAATTCAATCCAATCCAATCCAAACTGAGCCAATCCACTTGCAAATGCATGCAACTACTTATCCGTACACATGAGTTTGTTCGGCCTATCTGGTCTGGTCTGGTCTGTTCTGTTCTCGTATCATCGGGTCGGTTTGGCTAGTGATTTACGTTTGCTTTGCTTCCGTTTCTGATGATGCTGCTGCTGTCGTTGTTGTAGTTGTTGCTGCGATTTGCGCTTTCGCCATTTTGTTAGAACCACTCACTGTTTCTGATGTTGTTGTTGTTGCTGCTGCTGATGTTGTTGTAACGATTCGGCCGCTGCTCTGGGCTTGTCCGCTTTGACTTTTATTTTGGCGGAAAAATAGACATACATAAAGCAATTTGCATATGACTTGAACTTCCTTTCACAAATGCCAAGCGAAAAAAGCAAGTGGCTTCCAAACTTTCAAAATGCGATCAACAACACAAGCAAAAACAATAACAACAGCACATATACGAGTACAAATAGATAATACATACGACTATGCGCGATATGTTGTAAAATTAGCACAGAGACCTTTGAATTTCCTCCAACATGTGCGCTGCTGCCTGGCCAAACAAAAGACTTAGGCAACGAACTTGCTTTCACAAAAAAATCAAAATAAATAAAAATAAAACACGACAATACTGACAAAACGTTGTGTCTAAATAAATTATTGATTTATTGCCAAAAATAAACCACACGCGCACATAAATAGAGTTATAATTTGTTCGTCGACTGCCAGTCAAAACTTAATTTGAGTTTATTCGAGTGATTTCGATGGCGACAATCAGCGCTCACCAATTTATAAATCTTGGGTCCACAAAGTTGGAGTCAAATGCCCAAATGTGTCAACTAATTATGAGCCGAGTTGCGTGTGACAATTGCTTGAGCGGACGTCCTCCCCTCTCTTTCTACCCAGCGATTCGTGTTTCCTGCTACATCTCTGCCTGTGTAGTCTTGTGATCTTTATGGCACCACTGAAGCTTTATTGATTTTCAGAACATGAGCGTTGTGTTGCATCATAAAATCTTTGATAATACCCGTATACCCTCTACATTAATGTTGACTTTGAAATCGCCAGCTCCGTCGACGTCTGGCTCGATTGTGCATGCAGCAAATGCCTCCATCACTGGCCATCGAATAGGGCCATAAATGTTTTGTTGTTGCACCCAATTAGTCATGTCATTTGTCATTAAGCTCATACTAAAAACTGTCTCCCCATTCCGTCCTCGATCATCTGTCTGAGTGTGGAGTTGTGTGAGGCTGTCTAGCCAATTATACGCTTTGTCGCACAATTCGATGGCAAATAGAAATTTTGTACGCTCCAAGCTCGGACACTTTGAGGACTAGGGACTAGGGTCTAACTAAGATGCCAGAGGAACGCTTTTTTTACGTGATCTTCGATATACTACAGTAAAGAGCAACAAAAACCAATATATGGGACGAAAATAGTATACAAAAATTTCACTACAATTCATTACATAAAAATAACAAGAACTGACAAGAAAAATGGACTGGCCAATATATTAAAATACTTATTATTTGCATTATTTTATTATATTATTGTACAGATGGGCTTTGACAAGTTCGACAAATGTGATTACCGTTTATTTTGCACACAAGTCTGACAATATACTCGTATATAATTCCACGGCAAACATTTTTGCGATGCATGCACTTAATGTTTGTTGTTTATTTGTAAATTTGAATGAATTCACATAAATTAATTCCCATTAATTAAGTGTCCTTTACTTTCATCAAATGCTGTTTAGTATTAGACAAAACAGCTCTTTTGTTTAATAACCCCAGAGCTATTTGAGATAGTGATAAAAATTCGACTTAATTAATGAGTAAATATCT